AACAGCGGCCCAAAAATCAAAAAACAACTGAAACCTACAAAAAATAATAATAAAATAAGAAATTTTCCAGCAAGGCCCTCTAACGCATCAAGACCATCAATTCTAGCAATCCTCCAAGAAAAANAAAAAAAAAAAGATTACAAGCCCATGAAAACATGCTGACATCGGCTCAACGCGGAATAACAGAAACTTCTCGAGTTCGTTGACAAGACATCTAGGCCTCAGTTTTCTAAGTAAAAGAAAAAGAAAACAAGTACAGGAAAACACGCTGACATCGGCTCAACATGGAATAATGGAAACTTCTCAAGTTTGGTGATAAGTCGTCCACGCTTGGCAACTTCACAGTCCAACATATCGATCTCAGACTTCAGAAACTTTACTTTGGCATCATCGTAACTCGATACTGCCAAGCTGGGGGGCTAACTGTGGGGTCGGATTTCACCCCTATGAGATCGATATAGCGACAAGATCAACTATGCAGCGTCCTGACGAAGTCGGATCAAAGCTACAAGGACCCAGTCTAAATCTAGGCCAAAAATGACATTAAACCCATAATCAAAATGGGTTTAATGAAATAATGGGCCTAAATTAGATATATTGCTTAAAGGGTCAAGTCCATTTTATTAGTTGGTTCATTTACTTAAAGCTATATATAGCTTTAAGTATTCTCCCAAAAAGGGGTTCACAATTTTTCTCAGAGGAAACTCTCTTGTAATCAAAGCTTAACAGAAACAACAATAAAGAATTCTCATTCTCAGTATTTGTTCGAAGTGTGTTCGCGACATAGAAATCTCTAATCCCCAAACACCTTTGACAAATTTAATTGCGTGGATCCGACTCCCACAAAACATATTTGATACAAGAAAAAGACGACCAATAATTTTTTACGGAACCGTAGTGAATATTGATAAAGACATACAAGTTGCGGATTTGTGGAAAAGAAGATATCTTGCATATGCATACGCTTTCATTTTTATTAATGAATATACTATTTTGTTTTCACATATAACATTGTATATGTCCAACAATTTGCTCCAAATGCTTATTTTTCTAACCTAGATAATTATGTATTACAACAACAATTTTTTGAAATATTAAATACACAAATAATCAATAACCTAGAATTATTGCATGTTTTATTATGTTAATTTTTAAATCCACGCAACGCGTGGAGAATTGAAATATATAATCAAGTAACCTTTTCTTTTGTCAACATTCAAATAACCTTTCTATTCCAATATTCAGGACAATTATTTGGTCATGTTATGCAATAATTGGTGTTGGGTTTATACACATATTTTAAGCATTTTGGTTGGTTTATTTGGACCCGACGAAGACGAAAGCAGACTCCAAAGAACACTTCTTTGGTTTTCACATTTACTTACCTTCTAGAAATGGTTTCCAATAAAATAGTAAAATACCCACGTTTTCGATTCAATTTAAAATGATAATAATGCATTAATTGTCTTTGCTCGCCTATTTTTAAGGAACTTCCCACTTAACTAGAATTATTACTTTTGCTATATCACTTTTCCCTTTGAGAAGATATTAATTTAGAAATCAAGCAGGGTTGACATTACTTATTAAACTAAAATTACTTTTTCCTTTAGATGTAAAATCAGTCGAGTTATAGTTTTGTATGGGCTTAATAGTTTTTCTTTTTTGAAAAAAAAAATGTGATGGTCTGTGGTAACAATGGGCTTGATGG